TGCAGCTCCTTCGGGAGCACAGTCTCACCACCACAGAACGCCTCCTGCCCCTCTGCCCTTTCTTAAGTACCCGTTCAGAGGGCGGCTGCAAGCCCGGCCGCTGGGCACAGCCGTGTGCTGTGTTAGTTGGGCAGTGGCTAAACCTGGAAGGGCCAGGTGGGCCAATGAGACTGTGGTGGCCATAGCTCTGGTTGGGTTTTTTTCCAGACTACTAACTAAAAATGAGATTTAGGGTGCAGAGCGCTGCTCAGCTTGAAGGAACCATTATAATTTTCCACTTTTCCTCCTATAGCCTTCTGTCGGGAGAGGTAGATAGGTGTGCAGGCTCTTTGGGCTGTGCTGTGCAGCCCAGTGCTGTTTACCAAGGCACAAAGGCTCAGTGTGGATGCACTGTCCTCACGTAGTTGTCACTGCTTGTTGGTTACCTGCGCTAGAATAACTCATCTGTGCAGGTATCAACTATTTAGCCCTTGGGTTTTTTTCAGTTTTGTCTTTTGTCCGTCTTAAAGACTACTATAACAGAAGGGGCTAAATATAGTCACGTAACTATTTAAAAGCAAAAATTCTAATGTGTTTAAAGGGATTATGAGTTGTTTCAACAAATCTGAAGAGAGTTGTGGGTTTGGTTTTTTTTTAAAAAAGTAAAAAGTTGGAAAAGGCAGGTGGACCCATAAGACCTAGTTTCTGCAGTGTGGTTTGGGAAACCAGAACATTTTACAGAGAAAATGCATGTCATCTCACAGATACTGTGTTTGGCTGAAGTGCACCTGTATGTATTACATTATTAGCCTCTCAGTGTAAGTTTAATTATAATAAAAGTTGCTCAGCACAGTGTAAATTGAAGAAGTATCCTATTTCTATCTTGCTAATCTCAGAAGTAATTGTAGATCAAGTAAATAAAAGCAGAAATGTCATTTTGCTAGCTGTCATCTAAACTGTTCAAAAAGAGGCTTATGTTACAGTTTAGAGATATCATGGCTAACTCTTACAAGGAAGTTGTGCTGTCTCTTATTTGAAGTTCTAAATGGTTTAACCAAAATTACTGGGAACGTAATAGCACTAAAGGGATCTGCAAGAGATTTATGGGGTCTCAGCAGCAGATATTTTTCAGACAAGATCTTTACTAATATTTCTCATGGGTCTTTAGTTTTCCCTGTGTACCTGGGGGTTTTTAAGGGAAAGAACTAGTCACTGTGCAGCAAAACCCAACCAACCAACCAACCAAACTATGGGAAGTTCATAGTTTGTTTAGTATGACTACTTTAGAAGTCATTGGAAGAAATCTTTGCTGCAGACATTTTCTGGTAGGGTAATGTCGCCCTAATGTTACGCATGTCAGTGCAAAAGTAAAAAATACAGACCTTGAAACCTATTATTTACAGAAACCAGTGTGTTCCTGATCGTGATCTGTAACAACTTACAAGTAGGTCTTCACCTTCAGAAATTTCTAGTGTACTATAAATAGCACTTTATGTAGGTGGCTTTGAATAGCTTCTGAGGTTTAAGAGACCCCTCTAGGTACTTTAGGAATTTCAGAGTGGACGTTCTTTATCAGGAGAAAGGTTAGGAGTGTACTTTATATCTATACATGAATTGGTGCCGTCATTGTGTTTTCACGATTGAGTTTTTCTGGCCTGTTGAGGATTGCTGGGGATGGGTTGTCACGTTCATGGAGAAATGTTGGTTAGATAGCATCCATAAAAGGTTTATGTGTGCAACAACATACTTAGTAGGAAATGCTCCTTTCAAAGGCAGGGGAGAAATAAGGCGGGATTTGGTGTATTTCACAACTATGGTAGAAAAGAAATGTAAAATGAATATTCAGTTAAAAGGTCTAAGTGCACTGAAAACTGTCATTCTCTTATCTTCTTTCCCTTGATTTGTTTTCTGGTTAAGGTAGCGGAAAGAGGTGCAAAGTACCAGGCACAGTCTTGATCTGTGACCTGTGGTGGATTATGTAATCTGTTTTTGCTGCAGCCAAATGTAAGAAATACAAAGAAATCTTCTCATGGCATAGCAAATCTGAACTTGAAACAGAAACGTCAAAGAACAATTTATATAAGTTAGTTTCATAAACTGGCTTCTGAAGGATTACACATCGTCTTCATTCTCATTATCAGTTGCATAACATTTTCCTGAGAAAAAGGGGGGGAAAAAAAGTAGAGTTGATCTAGCATTCTTCAGAAAATACTCGGGTTTTGCAAATGAAATCCTGCGAAAATTCAGATGAATGTATTTAGTAAGAAGGATAAGGAAGGAGTTAATTGTTTTTCCTGTGAAGAGCTAAAAGCGGTGTCTGGAGGGCTCTGCTAAGGCTGGTTGTATGGCCTTAGGGGCTGGGTACTTCAGCTCTTCCTGAGAGGCAGTGTGCCTGGTCTGATGATTACTTAGGACAGTTGTATAATAAATGCCAGTGTTGCAAAGTAACTTGCTTTCCTGATTTCTTTATGTAGGCATTTTACTGATAGCAGTAAATCCACATCGAGCAGTTTCCCTGCTCAACCTCTTGCCTGTCGCTATGTAAGTTCCTTGCGGTGGCTGTTCGCCTGTCAGCATGTTGAATCTATGACATTATTTGTGTTGTTTTGCTTGATTTTTCCTGCACTGAACACAGCTAGGAAGAGTGGTCAGCTAGACTTTGGTAGGTTACAGAGGACCTTCAGCAATGGCAGTGTTTTTGCCTTGGTTCAAAAGGTTTACACATTCTCATTCCTTACGTTGGCAACAAGTCTTAAGACACCTGAAACACTGCTACAAGATCAGAGGGCTGACACGCATTGTTACTAGGATAGCTCTTGAAACCACGTTCAGTTTTACATCTTCTGTTCAATTAAGAAAAGTAAATAACAAAAAAGTAAGATGTAACAAGAGGTTGAAACATGCTTGCATGTGTTGAAAGTAGTTTTCAACCACAGTTTTCAGTTATGGTTGAAACTGTAATTTTTGACTCACAAATAGTTGAACAGTTTTCAACTATAACATGGTTGAAAAGTGTCCTAGAAGATCATAAACATGCGATGTAAATAGAGGCAGCCTCCAACAGCTCTAAGTTGTCTCTGAATTAATTATTTTTTCATTTAACCTCCTGTCCCTCTAATTTCTCTCAGATGTGTGTCTCATCTTGTGATAAGGAACATATTGAAAAATAGGCCTTAGGACTAGGATATAACTTAGGACTTCCAGATATAACTTTATTTACCTTTTTTGTCTTTCTAAATGAGCTGCTTGAAGAATATTGGTACTTTGGTATGCAAAAAAAATGAAGAAATGCTACAAAAAACACTGTCACAAGCCTTAACATTGAAATGATTTTCTGTGGTGTGTGCTATGTCACAGAGTCACTTATTTCTAATGCAGTAGTTAGATATATACAATGTAAGAACACTTGGCCTATTTTATCACAAACATTTTTATTAGTAGCCATGTGTGCATTGTTATTCTCTGTTAATGTCCTGATGCTGGACTGTTTCTGGAACAAATATTTAGCTAAACATGTGAGGATATCTAACTTTTGGCAGCCTATATTTCTCTCTCTTATTCAAACAGATGGTTTGGAATGTCATTTGAGATTCAGGCCACCAAATTTCTTACAGTCTTTATGAAATATGGCATTCGTTCGGGAGCATGTATAATATTCTGCAGAGGTCAGAATGTGTTTTGAAAGGAGCCATTTAAAGCTTTTGAAAGTTTTGAGCATGTGACATTTTGGCTACACAGAACAGTTTCTTTCTCCAGAAGTTAGACACTCAAAAAGTAGTTGAGAAGGCATAGCTGTTCCCAGTCATTGCCTTGAGCATTTTGTTTCATCTCTGCAATAGCAAAAGGGTAGAATCTCATGTGTATAGCTAAATTTTCTTCACCAGAAACCTTGAAAAGGGGAAAGGAAAAATAAAGGAGAGGAAAAATAAAACCCAAGATATTTTTAAGTAACTATTCACATTTCTTATCTTTTTGCTTTGATAGCGTCAAAATTAATGATTCCTTCTTGCCCCAATCTACTTAGCATCTCGTAGGTAGCATTTCATAAGCTGACATTTATTTTTCTTCTAACAAGAATATAAAGATATTTATTCTCGACAAAGAATTGGTTAGATTGTTTGTAGATACTGCATGCCTGTGGGTACTGTCTGACTTTTTTTTTTTTTCCTGAAGAAGCTAAACCATTCAGTGCATCAGCTGTAATTACTGTTGACTGCAGAGACTATTAGTTTGTCTTAAGAAAGCACAGGTTGTTGCACAGGCATTCCCTGTGAACTAACCAACACAGTAGAAGAGCTACACAAGAATTTCCTTGTGCAGTCCCCTTAGTACAGGCCTAGTTCTTCCCTCAAATAGATGGTTCTTAGAAATAGTGTCTCTGAATGCTATACAAATCTGGGGAAAGGTCCCATTTCACCAAAAAGATTTAACCCAAGCTGATAAATAATGTTTGGAACAACTTCATAGTTGTTGGACATCATATTTAAATCTTTAATTAACAGACTGTTTTTTCAGAATTATCCCGTACTAGATGACTCTTAACATCAAAATGTAATTCAGTTCACTGACAAGTCGTGGTGTTTTTCATGTTTTGTAATTGGAAATAAACTCATAATTCAAAGTGAAAATTATTTTATCTGTACGTTTGATAGGAAAAAAGCTTAATTATTTCCTATGGTGGATTTAAGTACACTAATTCATCTTGTTGCTTTGTCTATGTTAATACTGCACATTGTACATTC